GTACATACAGAAACATGCAGAAATCACAAGTGCTCTCTCAATACGTTTTCCTAAAGTGAACATATCTGTGTGATCAGCACTCAGCTAAAACAATAGGTGATCACCAACCCCACCTCAGGCACTTTCCCAGTCAGTAGCTCCTTCTTCCCCCCAGGGCTAATTACCATCCCCACTAGAAACTCTCAGGAAAGCTTTTCCCTGCCCCTCATTCTCATAGCCCCACTTCTGAATGGTGCTAGGATCTGGGTATTTATTTTCTCATGTTCCTGTTTTAAGTATTTTTAAATTGTACTAAGAATATTGCATGATTGGTGAAAAACAATAAAACATGCTGATATGGTTTGGGTGTGTCCCCACCCAAATCTCATCTTAAATTGTAGCTCCTACAATTCCCATGTGTTATTAGAGGGATCTGGTAGAGGTAATTGAATCATGGGGGCCGGTCTTTCCCATGTTGTTCTCATGATAGTGAATAAGTCTCACCAGATCTGACGCTTTCATAAAGCGGAGTTCACCTGCACAAGCTTTCCTTGCCTGCTGCCATGTAAGATAACCCTTGCTCTCCTGCCATGATGGGAGGCCTCCCCAGCCATGTGGAACTGTGAATACATTAAACCTCTTTCCTTTATAAATTACCCAGTCTCAGGCATGTCTTTATCAGTAGTGTGAAAATGGACTAACACACACGAATATGCAGGACATCTCTTGAGGCAGCTGCCTGCTTACATTGACTCCTCTAGGCAGGCAGAGGGGATCTGAATCCAGTTTAGTTTTAGTGCTAAGCCTGAGGTCCTAACCAAAGAGATGAGGCTTTAAGAGCCTTGCAAATTAGTGTGGACCTAAAGGATGTGGGACCACTGAGAGGCTCTGAGGAGGGCAAAGGTAGGTGTGACCCGCTCTGTCCCTTAGGAAGCTTACACTGTGTGTGTGGAGGGGAAGGCTGGAGGCTGTTGCTGATCAGGAATGCAGAGATGATGGTGGCCCGAGCTGACACAACATCTTCTTGATAGCCGTTATCCCACATTTGATTGTTCCAGAATCTGTGGAAAGGGAAACGTCTCCTTGTGGGGATACTGTCTCCAAATTCCCAGTTCGGGGGCTTTCTCCTAGCATCTAGGCTAAGAGCACAGGCTCTAGAGCTGGGGATCCCTGTGTTTGAGGTCTGCCTCAGGTATGAGCTGCATAGTCTTGGAAAAGTTGTTTAACTTCTCTGAATACTAGTTTACTTCCATACCACAAACAAATAATTACAGTCTCATTTTGGTGTTCTTCTTGGGATTCCAATGGCTTCTGCAAGAGAGGAACATATGTCCACGGGGTTTTCTGGGGACCTACAAGTAGAAGGAAGCAAACGGTGCCTTCAGCATTGCAATATTTCTGCCTCACAAGAAACTCAAAGAAGCACTGAATAGAGAAAGTCAGAGACAAAGGCCAATTTCATTGTGTTTTCATAGCAGCTCCTAAGGAGAAAATCCAAAGGTGGGTTAGCAGAGAAAGCAGCCCAGGCCTCTCTCCTTCCGGGCTGAAGAAAAGCCACGGGGCAGGCATGAAGTCTGTGTATAGGGCAGGGGGCTGAGCTAAGCCTTCCACAGAAACAAAGCTTGGGCCTCTAGTGATGTGCTGGCTGACATGGCTTTCCTGACATAGGTGCGATGTCCCCATGTTCTCTCTAGCAGGGAGACTGATGGTTTGCTTGACAGCAGGCCTCACAGTGCCCATTTATAGGGGAGTGGGGGAGCTTGGGATTTAAAGCATGTAGACTGTGGTCTGAGATCTTGAGAGGCTGCTTAAACCTTGGGTGCCCGCCCCCCAGCACCTCAGGTGTTGTGAAGATGCAGATAACTGCATGATCCGTGAGTACCCAGGGCCTGGCGCATGTCAGGGGCTCATAAATGCTTCTCTGCAGTCCCTCCACTGTCTCATTAAGCTCCCCTGCCTTTCTAGTCTTGTGCCTTGATCTCTGCTGGGCCCTCCAGGAACTTCAAGGAGAGCTTCTGCCGCCTTTAAACTCCCACATCATTCTCATCAGCTTGGCATGAGTTTTTCAGTAAGTCTGAACATTTATTCTGACTCTTATGTTTTATTTTATTTTACTTTTTTTTTTGAGACAGAGTCTCACTCTGTTGCCCAGGCTGGAATGCAGTGGTGCAAACTCTGCTCACTACAACCTCCATCTCCCAAGCTCAGGCGATCCTCTCACTCAGCCTCCTGAGTAGCTGAGACTACAGGTGCATATCACACCTGGAATTTTTTTTTTTTTTTTTTACTTTTTTGTAGAGATAGGGTTTCATTGTTTTGCCTGGGCTGCTGTCAAACTCCTGGACTTAAGTGATCCTCCTGCCTCAGCCTCCCAGAGTGCTGGGATTACAGGAGTAAGTCATTGTGTCCAGCCTTGACTCTCATGTTTTGGATAAGTTGCTGGTATCACATTGATTCCCCGTTCTTTCAATAGTGGCTGCCTAAGGGCCATGCCTGTGCTAAGGGGAATGATTTCCTCAGCTATAGCAGAAAGACCTCAGCTTGGATTAGGTGTCCCTCAGGATCAGTCAGCTGTGATGGCAGGAGGCGGGGGTGCCATGGGACAACATGGCAGGTGTCTCCCACCCCTGTCATTGGAACCAGTGGTGGCCTGGGATGACAATATGTCTACTGTACACAATGACCAAATACCACACCTAATATTTTATTAGCCACCAGACAATGACTGCTAGTATTTTAAGTATAGTATTTCCCAACTTTTCCTCTTGTAACTTTGTCTATTAAAATACATGAAACTGTGAAATATATGTATATTTGATATATATTGCTTTGAATCGTACTTCCCCCAACCTCCACATCACTTGGAAATGGAGGCACGCTAACTCAGGGTTTGGGGGGAATTTGAGTTTGGCTGTTGGAGGGTGAGGGTATAATTTGTCATTCTTCAACTCCCATCATGTCTCTTTCTGGCAGCATTTCAGGTGGCCCTTTTCTCAGACCCTTCATGGACGCTGGACACCATGGCTTCAACGTGGAGCCAAAGTGTAGGAGGCTAATCATGCGAGCGTCCGTGCACAGCACTGTACAAAGGATTAAGAGCTTGGTAAATAACCAGTCCTTTTCTCCCTTCCTCCTTCCCTCTCTCCAGCTCTTATTTCTTCTCAGAGGAAAAGAACCAAAACAGGAGCAGGCAGCCTCCACGGAAGCTGCTGGGAGACCCCCTTCTTGGCCCGCGACCCCCCTCAGCTGTGGATTCTGGGTGCTTCCAGAGCTGTGCTTCCCACAGGCTCCTGGCGCTGCTACCAGGAACTCCCTGCAGGGCCACAGGCAAGAGTTGGCAGGTCTTTGTGTTGTCAGAGCCCTAAACACTTTCTTCTTTCTGCGTGTGCCCGTTAAATTCTGGGCGGAAGAAGACTGGAGAGTTGAGGTTGTGGGCCTTGGTTCTAAATGGCTGGCTCCCTTCCTGGTTGGCTTGAGCTCTCCCTGGGCCCCTTCATACCTCATTCCTGGCCCAGGCCCCTGCCCATTGCAGACCTGCCTGGGGGAAGGAGGAGGAGCTGAAGAGCAGGCGTTGAGGTTATCAATGGAGAGGGTGGGGTTTCAGGGTCTGTTTGGACAAATTTGGTGACAGAGGGATCTAGTGGGATAGAAAATCCTAGTTTCAATTCTGACTCTGACCTCATTGTCCTGGTGACATTTGCGGAGTGCCTTCCCCTCCAAGCTGTAGGCTGCCTTTCTTTGCAGCAAGGGGCAGGCCTATCTTGAGTTTTCTAACAGGTTGACAGTCTGACACCATGTCCCATCCTTTTACTTCCCTAGGCCACGTGGAACCTGCCAGAAGTCTCCCTGCAGAAAGGGACTCCCAGGGAAAGGGTCTGAGGGCTTCTCAGGCAGCCTTGCTGCTTTTATTCTTGGTTGTCATGATTTACTGTCCTGTGGTAAGTCCTGGGCTCCCCGTCGCTAGGTGCCGTGGAGAAGCACTTCAGCCACGGCATCAATGGATCTGCTTGAGTCCTGGCTGTGACTCTTCTATCAAGCTACGAATCTCCCCAGGCCTCAGTTTTCTCACCGAGTCAATGAAGATAATGGTATTGATTGCACTGGATTATTTTGAGGATTAAATCCAATAAAGCACGTGAAGTCCTAATGCAGTGCCTGGCACATGGTAAACCCATGATGAATGCTCTTATCATCATCATCATCATCATCGTGTCATCATTGCTGTTGTTATTTACCAACTCCCCTCTGTCACTCCAAGGAAAGAGAGCCCCCAGGGTCTGAGTAGGCAGCGATCCAAGTGGCCAGCTATTCCTGGTTTAAGCCCTCTCTATGCACACCCTAAGAGAGAGCTCCTAACAAAAAAATCCAGCTTCAGTCACAAGTCCTGCAGCATGCACTGTGTCAGGGAGCCCAGGAGATCACCGGTGTACACACTACGGGCTGCTGTAAGGATAAAAAAGGTCTCACCTACACAGCACTTGATGCAGGGCCTGCCCACAGCCCTCAGTGAATTGTAGCCCATAGTACTGTTGTCACTGCCTCTAGCATCGATCACATCTGAGACTACACAGATGCATGTTGAGGTGCAGGGTCAGACAGACCTAGGTGTGGACTGCATGTGGACTTCACGTGAATCTCTCAGTCACTGTGACCCTCAGTTTTTTCATCTGTATAATGAGACTAGTACCACCCTCATCACAGGGTTGTTAGGATGACATGATTATAGCAGTTAGGAGGTTTGCATGAGCTGTAAAGACTGGGATACGCCAAGTTCACATTGTGTGTTCAGCACCAGTGGATTCCTTCCATGTCCCCACACCTCCTTCCCAGACTCCCCTCTTTTCCTTGGGGGTTTTTGTCTGGGCTCCACGCCAGTGAAGAGGTGAAAAGAGTCTTGATATGCATTCTTTCTCTGCCTCCTGTCCCAAATGCCTTCAGCTCTAGGCTGCAGTTGGCCCCCTATTGAACACACCAGGCAGCCGGGAGACAGGAAATCTCATAAAAAAGGCCCACACACTTCAGCACCACTTTTTTTTTTTTTAATTAAAAAGAAAATAAGAAAACAAACAACACTTCCCAGGGTGTGCTGTGATGAAATATCACCAGCATATAAAGTACTCACAAAAACAAGAAGGAGAAATCCCAGGAGCTCACGCAGGGACCCCCTGTGAGGGTGTGCCCAAGGCCCCTCCCTTGAGGCCATTGTTTCTTCAGACAAACATCCACCTCCCTTGGGCTAGAAAAAAGGAAGCACTTACCCAGCCTTGTTTCTCTTGGAAAACTCAGCCATCTCCAGCTCACTGGTCCATGAGGTGCGCACAGGAAACTGAGCTTTACAAGATTTTACAGATGGGCAGTGCTGGGGTGGGAGGATTTAGGGATACACACCACCCCTCTCACTAACCGCTGGATCTGCTCAAGGTTTCTGGGGGTGCTGGGAAGCAATGGTGTCTCTCCATGGGGATGCATTACACATACATGCTGGGTGCATCGTTCCAAGGGGCCACTAGGGCTGCGTTTTCTGGGCTAAGGCTAATGGTGACTTCCTTCCTTGCGTGGCAGCAAAAGGAGTGTCTGCAGGTTTAGCTGAGGCAAGTAGAATAAGGTCTTAGACCAGGAAAAGATGTGACTGGGCTGGCACTAAATTTTGGTGGATGGAAGGCAATGGAGAGATTTTGCTATATTTGCCATAGCAAGCTTTTCACACTGATCTTTCTTGGCTACTCAACCAATTCTCCATCGTGGCCTCCAGTCTCTGAGGACCACGCAGACCTGGATTTGACTCTTAGCTCTGCCATTTACTAGTTTATATAACCCTGGAAATGTTATTTAACCCCCTTGAGCCTCAGTTTCCTCATCTGTTAAATGGGGAGGTTCGTGAGCCTTACGTGGTGAGTATAAATAGTAAAGTGTGGCCAGTACAGAGCCCAGTACAGCACCTGGCACGTAGGAAGTGCTCAATATCTGGCCACTGTTACTGCTGTTCTCCAGGCACCAGTATTTGCATTGCAAAGTTGGTGGGTTTGTATGTGGACCTATGTGTGATAAACAGAAGTCTTCACCAGTGTTCTAGAAAGAGGGTGGATTCCTCGGAGGCTCCTGCTTATGTCTGGGCAGTTCCACAGTCATGGACTACCGTGGGGTTGGCATGGAGGACCTCCACTGCTTTTCTCTCTGGCATGTCCATCTGGCTCAGGAGCTGTTCTGTACCTAGACCTCGCTGCCCTCCCTGGGGTAGAGGATGCCATTGGTGTTGACGCTGTTGTAGAAATGAGGGCTGAATTGGCTGAGCACAGGTCCACCGTAGCTGAGTGTGTTGGTGGGCATGGGGTTGGCCCAGTCGCCCCCACCGCCGTGGCTGCTGAGGTTGGTGAGTGGGGAGAAGGAGTTGAAGCTCAGCGAATTCTGCCCCGTCTTGTCACTGGGATCGGGATTCAGTCCTGGTGTGGCCAAGGGGCGGCTGGTGGGGCTCCCCCCGTTCACATAGGCTGTCATAGAGGAAAGGAAGCTGTTGAGGCAAGGCGCACCCGATGGGGGAGGGGAAGGCCGCTTCTCCGGGGAGCTGGTGGTGCCCCCTGGTGAGGCTCCATCCAAGATGTCCTGAGGCTCCGTGGTCTTGGGGCTGCCCACCAGGAGACTGCTCTCTGTCTTCTCTAAGGCCAAGGAGCCTGTGCTGGAGGAAACATCCGATTTTCTCTTCCTTTTCCTGCGGAAATTTCCATTGTCAAACATCTTCTCACAGTTAGGGTCCAGGGTCCAGTAATTCCCTTTGCCTGTTACAAAAGTGAAAGGGGGTAAGTAGAGAGGTGGGCAAAATGCTTCGCTTCTGTCCCTCCTCATTGTCATAAACTAAAAACCACAGTGACAGATGCGGGTGACAGACTGAGGAACGGAGGAATTCCATCAAGTGATGGACCGTACCACATCCATCTTTATTTAAGCAGCTCATGACGGGGCACTCTGGGACTGCAGCTGAGAGGCACAGGCATCAAGGAGTTTGCAGTGTAGGTCTCTTTAAGAAGGATGAATTACTGGGGGCAAAGATGCTGGGGGGTTGGGGATGGAGGGCTTTCAGTGCTGATCCAAAAGAAGACTCAGGAAAAACTCTGGGACTCCCTTATAGCCCTAGGCTTGGAGTCTGAGGACAGACTTGAGTCCTGGCCTTGCTCCTCACTGACTGAGGGGCTTTGGGAGAACCTCAGTTTCCTAGTCTGAAAAGTGGGCCCATGGCCCATGTCTTCCTCAGGCCCACTGAGAAATGATGGACACTGGGTGTGGAAAGGGGCTTTGCAGCTGGGAGGTACCATCCCCAGGGATTGCCTGAACTATTCCTGCTACCATCCCTTAGCCTGAGGGTGACAGCAGTCCTTGGAAAGGACACTTGCCCTCTTCTGGGGACAAACAGGCCTGGCGCTTGCTAAACTCAAACGGGGCAGATTTGGGGTTCTTCTGAGCTATACCTTGGCTTTCTGTCATGGAACAAAAATGGGCTTTAATTCTGGGAAATTGACGCATGAGTATTTAATACATGCCTCTCTGCAGGTCTCTGCATTTTAGAAATGCATCATTGAAAAGGAAAAGCTCACAATTTCTGGTGTTAGAGAAAACTGAGTTCAAATTCAAGCTCTATCACTATCACTCCATTCTGTGTCACTTCTGAGTGTTATCTTCCTAATCTGTAGAATGGGTTTAATAAGAGTTACCCTGCAGGGTGCCGCAGGCTTAAAGGAGATTGTGTAAGTAGAAATAGGGCAGGCAGCAAGATGGGCCATTAGTGGCTGTTTAACCCAGGTCAGATCCTCTTCCCAGCAGTCTTGGGATGCCCTCCAGCTTTGCTTGGTTCAATTATTCATTCACCAAAGACTTTCTATGTGCTGGGTGCTGGAGATGCAGATGAATCGTAATTACTGCAGGTGATTAAGCGCTTGATAACACCAAGGACCTTTTGTACATTATCGCATCATCTCCACTGTAGCCTACAAAGCAGACACCATCACTATCCCTGGTTTTCAGATGAGGAAACTGAGGCTCTGAGGTCTAACCTGCCGGAGGTCACTGACTGGTCAGCCACACAGCCAGTATTGAAAGGCAACTCTTCCGCCAGGTCCACACCTCCTCCACTGCTGAGCTCCCCTCTGCCCTATCTGGTAGCATCCCCTAGTCTTGGAGGACACAGCCTTAGTCAGAACTTTCTAGAATTAGGTCTTGGGGAGGAAGGAAGTGAGCTTTCCTTGGGGACACCCCCCACACTCAAAGCCTCCTTACCCGGGTCGTCCTCATCCCGGGGCACCTTCTTGAAGCAATCATTGAGTGACAGGTTGTGGCGGATGGAATTCTGCCAGCCGGCTTTGCTCTTGTTGTAGAAGGGGAAGTTGTCGGCCACATACTGGTAGATCTGGCTGAGGGTGAGACGTTTCTCGGGTGCCCCGTGGATGGCCATGGCAATGAGAGCCGAGTAGGAGTAGGGGGGCCTCACCAGCTTCATCAGCTCCTCCTGCGAGGGGATGGGCAGCCAGCCCAGGTCACTCCCCCCAAGCCCCGACACGCTGGGCAGCAGTGGCCTCTGCATGCTGTAGGCCTGGGGCAGGAAGGGGCTGGCGTTCGGACCGGGCAGGTAGGGCGGCGGGGTCATGGTGGGCCCGTTGAACCAGAGGTACGGGTTGGGGGTGGCCCCATACTCGGTGCCCCCCTCAAAGGATGGCCTCTGAGGGCTGGGCATGCCCTGTGAGTGGAAGAAGTTCTCATAGTAGAGGTTCAGCTCGGGGGGCTCCTGGCCGATGCTGGGGAACTGGGGGCTGCAGCGGGGTGGGGAGGGTGCCGGCAGGTCGAAGGAACTCATGCTGGGGCTGGGCTGGCCGGAGCCACCTGCCTGGCACCTGCACCCTGGAGCTGCCCCTGACAGGTGCTCAGCAGGCCCTGGCCTTCCACTTATACCCCGAGGGCTTGGCCAAGTGGCCCCACCCATGGGCGGCCACCTGCCTGTGGATGCCAGCTCAGGGCCCGCCCTCCCTCAGCCTCCAGCCCACGGGGAGGGGACCTTCCCCGCCGGTGCCTCAGGTCCCCACTAATGACATGCTAGACGGCTTACCAGAGCTGACACCCAGTGCAGCAAGGACGCCCCTCTGTCCTCCTCCCGGCTCGCTCTCCTGTCTTTCTCTCCATCCTCATGAGTCCCCTCTTTTTCTCCTTTATTCGATCTTGCTGCGTGTCATTTTTTTTCTGTTTTTCCCCTTTCCTCACGTTTCTGCTCCTCACCTTCCTTCTCTCTCTCCTTCTGTCCTCTCTGCGTCTCACTCTCGATTTCTTTCCTTCTTATTTTCTTTCCTCCCTTCTACTCCAAACTGTGCTCTGGTCACATCACAGCTGCTCCTTCCCGTTCTCTCTCTCTCTCTCTCTCTCTTTCTCTCTCTCTCTCTCTCTCTCTCTCTCACACACTCTCTCTCTCTTCCCCCCCATCCTCCCTCAGTCTCCAGGCCTCCAGTTCTTCCCTCCACTTCTATCTCTCGCTTCCATCCTCACCGTCTTCCCAGCTTCTCCCCTTCCTCCTCCTCCTCCACTCTGTTCCTTTCTCTCCGCCTCTCACTTTCTCTGCACCTCTCTTCCCATCCCCTCATTCTCCCTCTTCTTCCCCTCAACGGCCCCTCATTCTTTGACCAACCACCCCAGCCCAGGGGTGGGGCACTTCATCAGAAGCCCATTTCTTGGTCTTTTGAGGTGAGGAGTCACTTTCTGGAGTTGCCATGAGAGAGCCAGCCCTGGAGACTCAGAAGAGGGAAGAGAGGGGCCTGGGCTGGCCTCTGGTGGGGTTCAAAGGGGCAGCCAGTCGTAGTTCCCCCAATACACACACACGCATGCACACACACGCACCCACGCACGCACACACTCACGCACACACATGCATACATGCTGCAGATGGGCAGAGAATCTGAGAACTTGCTTAGAGAGCAGCAAGGTTCTTAAAAATCATAGCAAAAGGGGAAAATGGGAATCGTTCTTTAGGGAAAAGTGAGAGAACTTGAAGAATTCAAGCTTCTTTCCAGCTGCAGGGCAATGCAGGCTCCCAGCTCCTCTCTGATCCAAAGTCCTTTCATGTTTCAGCTCGCAGAGGCCCCTGGCATGAAGACAGCCCCCGACTCACCATGCCCCACGCGTCCTCTCTCCCTCAGGCTCCAGAAGCAGGACCCGCAGCTTCTCCCTGCTGCTCAGCCAGCTCCTCCTATCTGGGCTCCATTCTCCATCTTGTCCCAGTCTCCCTGGTGCCCAGGTCAGGCCCTCAGCTTGGGCCATGGGTGGTGTCTCTACTCAGAGGGTAGGCACTGTTCCCTGACCAGGTTCTGGTAGCAGCTGAGACTTCTCTCTGTCATCAAGCAGATGGGAGAAAAATTAGGGCCAGCCCCTCTCGTCACCACCTGGCTCCAGCCTGCCTCCCTCTACTCTTTCTTCCTATCCAGCTTCCTCTCACTCCCTGCATACCCTATGTTTCTTTGAGGCCAAAGAAAGAGGTCACTGACTGTCCCAGCTAGAGGGGATTCTCCCCAAGGAATTCTCCCCACCTCTGCTCCTCCTTCACGGTTATGTGGGGGCACATGTGGCGAACATGAATGGGACTGAATAAATTTCATTTCAGCATATCGGTGTCCAGGGGATGAGTTCCAGGTAACTGGGTAGAAGGGGTCATGTGGGGCCCACAGGAACCTGTCCCCACCATAAAAAAGCAATGAAATGTGACTCTCTGAATGGCTCTGGTTGTCCAGATGAGGCTTAGAGTAAGGCAGGCTGCAGAGCGAAGCCAGAGGCAGTTTTTGTTTAGCAGATTTTCCCTATGAGGAGCCCTGGCTTGCTGAAGATGTGGCTCTGACTTCTCAAAGAATAGTCACATTGGAGTCCCCTAGTTCAGACTCAAAGCCTTACAATGAACCTAGCAGTTTCACTTCTTAAAGCTCATCTTACAAAATTAAGCAGAGCAAAGAATTAGCAGCAGGGATGTCCACCACAGCGCTGTTTATAGCGTTAGCAAACTGCAGCTAATCTAAATGCCCAAAAGTAGGGGATTGGCTAAATAGCATATCCTCCAAATGATGTAATATTATGTAATATTATGCAACTATGAAAAAATAGATTGTGGAAGAATAATGATATGAAAAGATGTTTATAGTCTCATGATTTTATTTGGAGAAACAGGCTGCAAAATGCAATGAGATTTTTTAGTAAAAATACATATTTACAATTGTATAAAAAATCTAGAAATATAAATATCAAACTTATGATTATTATTTCTAGGTGAAGAATTAGATGGGATTTTTGTTGTTTTTCTGTAGTTTCTGCTTTAAATGATTACAGAAAGACAAGCACACAGGCGAGTTGCTTTTGGGGTTAAATGTGAAAGGCTAAAAAGAGGTAATATAGCGGAGACGTAGCAGACATGGGCTCTGAGATCAGGAGGACATGGTTGCAAGTCCCAACCCGGGTGCCAGATAACTGCAGGCCCTGACGAGTGATCTGGCTTTTCTCAGCCTCGGTGTTTTCTGGTGAAAACGGGAATGATACCAGCACTGCACGCACAAAGTTGCTGTGAGCATTCAGTGAGTGAGGTAGTCAGTGTAACCAGTGTCAATCATTTGCATGGCACATGAAGGCTCACTCAATAAATATTAGTTATTATGGATTATAGTGAATATACCTCTGCTGTGTATAATCCAGAACACCTGCATTTGCTACCTGGAGAGCTAATCTCATGCAGCGGGGATGTGACAGGGATTACAATGCGAGAACAGAGAAATATTTAGTGTAGACATCGATCCTATAGCCGGACTCTACATTTACAGATGATGATCAGAGAGGGCCCAGAGTCATGCAAGTTCATGGCTGGGTCAGGACCCACTCTGCCCCACTTTGGCGTCTCCTGCCTTAGAGGCATTTTCTAAGGAATGCTCACCTGAGTCTCCCTAGCCGCACGTGAGCTCCAGTTCCTTTCCCCCAGTAGATCAGAGAAAGCCTGGGCTGTCTGAGGCGGCCTAATTCGCACAGCGCCTCTGGTACCCAGAGCCCAGTAGCTGGGGTCACAGCTTCCCTGCACTTGGTCACTTCTGGCCTTGACTTTCAGGTGTGGAGAACCGTGCTCTTTTAGAAGTCAGATCTCAGTTCACCTGTCTGGTGGGGGGTGATGGACATTTTCACAAACGTGGACTCATGTAGGACTGCAGTGCAGCAAGGATGCGGTTTTCCCAATTGAACATCATGGAAGTGAGATGAGGGAGGCAGGTGGGAGCCAGCCTAGCTGCTGCTCCACCGTGGCTGGACCTGGATCGCACCGGCAGTGCCGGGAGCAAGGAACTCCAGCCCTGCAACCACACTTTCTGGGTCTCAAGCCTGCCTCTACTTTTTTCGACACTGTCATACCTTAGATAGCAACCATTTGTTTTGGGCCTCAGTTTTCCCACCAGTAAAACCAACTACTTTGGGGTGCTGCTGTGAGCACTAAATGTCAGGTGGCACTATACGGTATCATACCTGCTCAGTACGTAAGCTCTCATGAGGGACTCGGGAGCCCGAGGTGATGGGAGATGCTGTGGGTTCATCAGCTGGGACTACAACATCTCCAGCTCTTGGACCATACCTCCGTCCCCCAAATTCACATTAGATTAGAGGCTCGGCTTCAGGGGCTCCTCCCCGTCTCTCCACATAAAACACAAATAGTTTCTAAGCTCCAGGATTCCCAGTAGCCTAGCACGGTACAAAGCTGTTTGAGATGGGGAATCAGGGAATTAGGGACTAGTTGGCCCCAAGCTTAACTCTCTGCACCTGTTCCCTAATTGTAAAATTCGGATAAAATTTACAGCACTACCTACTGTCTATGATGGTTCTCTGTGAGTGGCAGCGAGCCCTCATCCGTCCTGCCTGGGTGACAGTGTTCACCAGAGTCATGTTTTGGGGTATTTGGAGCTGACATGGGGGTGGCTTCTTCATCCTGAGCATGGGCTTTTGTGGAACTCTGGCTGAGGCATTAGCCAGGCTGGAGGTGGTCTTGGTGCTTGGCGGCTTTCTGGCTTCTGATGCGCTTGTCTGAAGAAATGTAGATCAATACTGCCCTCTGGCGACCTATTAAAAGCGGGAAGGACATTGCAGGGTTTGGGTGAAAAAATTCAGGGCAGGTCGAGTTTTCTTTCGGTTCCTTTAAGAACAGGAGACAGAGTGAGAGATTGCAGGAGAAATCAGGTTCCCAGGAGAAACAGTTGTTTAGAGAAAAAGACCTCACTGCTGCTGCAGTGGGAATAGTGAGAGCTGGGTTGGAAATGGGAAAGGTGTCTTAGAAGGCAGCCCAGCAGCGGACTGGCTGGTCTGAGTCAGAATCAGACTCCTCCAGCTGTATTTTCTGAGTGCCTTGATGTTTCATCTCTGATCCTGTTTGCGCCTATGGGAAACAGCTGCTGCAAGGACTGGATAGAAAATGCTTCTGAAACAATGCATGGCTGTAATTCATTCCTTCGTTTATTGAGCAAATATCAGGCTGTCTTCCCAGTACCAGCTCTGCGCTGGGGGACACCGCCACCATCACACAAGCTGAGGCTCACTTTGCTTGTGGTGTTTGCCATCTCTGTGTGGTGCCTGAAGTTTTGATATACTGTACTTAAAAGTTCTCATTGGCTTTCCTGCTCTGTTTTTGATTTTTACTCAGTGAACTTGTTTTAAAGATAGATTCCATATAACTTCTGGAAATGGATCAGCAGTCATCAGGATCACTTGCCGTAAATGAACTAAGAAGAGTTAGTATTTATTTAGCGCATACGCTGTCACGGGCACAGCCTGAGCACTTACCTGTGTTATCTCATTCAGCCTCCACAGCCACCCTGGGAGTTGTAATTTTAATTGGCCCCATTTCATAGATGAAGACACT